AACTTAAAACACTACTCTGGGGAATAAAAGTTATACATGATATAGAAACTATTAGAAACTCAGGCAACAGTAAATTTGAAGTAGTAAGAAATGTTGCTTGCACACATGAAACAGGCCTTAAGGGCTTTCACAGAATAATATCCCCCACTGCGGAGGTTGTATAAAAATAAGAAATTAATAATTCCACCATGAATAGGCCTAAAAGGCACTCAGTATAATTATGTTACCCCAACAGATGCACACTTCCTAACCTAACTTAACCACTACTCTGGGGAACAAAGGTTATACCTGAGATCAGAATTATGAAGAAAAATTAGATGCATTAAAGAATCAAATCACAGTATCACTCTGGTTCCACTTAGTGACACAAACATTCAAACAACAATACTATCAAAATTATTTAAGAAATATTAAACCACACACGTCAAGATAACATCAGTAACTGAGAAATGGTATTAACTACACACAAATATATTGTCACTATTATTGGTTTGTTACTGGGTCCACCAATACCCGTGAACCATGCTCCACCCAACTCAACATACACCCGTAATAAGGGAGATAAAATGTTCCTCTAGGTATCTCCTAGAGTCCTAGACTCATGGTCTCAGTGTGTGATCATTAATTTACTCAGATAGCCTCAGTGTACTCCCAGTGCGTCCATGGGCATGAAGAGAGAACGCCAGCAGGTGTCTATGGCCAGTAGGTAACACTTCCAGCTGACCGAGGACACGTGGTGTTGTGCACCCGAGTGGTAAGAACTGATCACCCACTGCTGATGCTGGTCCCGTGTCGTTTTAGTTGTCTGGAGCACTCGTTCACTCAAGAGATCCTTTGCTACCCCGCTAAACAGTGACAGGCCTACACTGATCGGTCCAATGGCGACAATCGCCACCCTCAATCATCAACGGCAGTCAACTCCGGTCATGTGGGTTCTGACGGAAACCTTGTTATACTGCAATAGCGCAGCACAGGTGACTAGGCCACGTGACTATTTCTGTGACGGACGCGCAGGGACGTCTTGTCTGTGTGAATGCTCCCCGTGACTGAGGACTAGCCAGCGTCACGTCTCCTCTCAAGGCGTTAGCTTAGGCCTACGTGACATATTTTCCGCCTAACTAATAACTCCTTGGGACGCCCGTAACATTATTCAGACTGATAAGCGATCTATAATAATTTCAAATTCAATAATAGTCCCTTACTTCATGAATCGCATCATTATTAATTCGGTAAATTACATTTAATATCATATAGGCCTAGTTCCACCATCTCTCGCTATGAGCAGGAAGCGCTCTCTTCCCTCCCATGACCTTGAACGCTCAGTGTTGCCAATGGCGGGGCATTCGAAATTACTCTGAAATTTCTGAATATTACATATAAGTGTATATATATATATATATATATATATATATATATATATATATATATATATATATATATATATATATATATATATATATATATATATATATATATATATATATATATATATATATATATACCAATACAGTTTGGGCTCATTACGAGCCCTTCTCAATTGGTAATGAAAGAGACAAAGAATATTACACACTATATACATGTGGAGGCTGACCGACCCAAGCCGTCTGTCAACTGGGGATAATCTTCTGATCCATCCTTGGCCTGAATCAACCCTTCTTACCTGGGGATTAAATTACCCCATTTTCCTAACTTTCACTGCAGCAAACTCTGCTATTAAATCTTGATATTCCAAACTTTCTGCTAGTTCCTTTTCGATGGAGAGCATAGCCAATGCTTTCAATCTCTCTTGAGACACAGTTGTTCTTAGATAGTTTTTTATCAATTTCAGCTTGGAAAAACTCCGCTCCCCTGATGCCACTGTGACTGGTACTGTCAATAAAATCCGATATGCTATTTCTGCATTAGGGAAGGAACCATTTAGAGACTTGAGAAACTGAAGGACTTGAAGTGCACTGTTTGTTTCTTGAGGAATAAGTTCTTGGAGTACTCGAAGCTCTGAGAACAGGTCTGCACAATCAATATCGATATTGGCAGTTGGCTGGATCACATAAATCATCTTCAGTTTCACGGTTACGGTCTGAGTTGTCCATTTTTAAAGCTTTCATCTGTTTTTCACTACTGTCCTGCGAGAGAGATTTAGGAGTAATGATAAGTAGGAACCTTAAGCCAAGTAAACAATGTGTTTTTGCTCGTAACAAGGCTAATAAAGTACTTGGGTTCATACAAAGGAGTGTTAGTTACAAGACTAGCGAGGTCATCCTAAAACTGTATCTTGCTCTTGTGAGACCACACCTGGATTACGCAGTTCAGTTCTGGTCACCGTATTACAGAATGGATATAGAATCCTTGGAAAGAATTCAGAGGAGAATGACAAAGACTAATCCCGGGCATTAGGAACCTTGAGTAGATAGAGACAGGTTAAAGCATCTTAATTTGCACTCCCTTGAGAGACGTAGAGCTAGGGGCGACCTGATAGAGGTGTATAAGTGGAAGGCAGGGCTAAACAAAGGGGACATTACAAAGGTACTCAAATTATCCAACCAGGAGCGAACTCGTAACAATGGTTTTAAATTAGACAAATTTAGATTTAGGCGTGAAATAGGTAAAGCACTGGTTTGGAAACAGAGTAGTTGATGAATGGAACAAGTTACCAAATATCATCATTAACTCGAATACGCTGAATTGCTTCAAACATAGGTTGGATGCTCATATGAGCAATAGGGGTTGGGTGTAAACGGGACTGCCCAGTATGGGCCAATAGGCCCGCTGCAGTTTCCTCCATTCTTATGTTCTTATGTTCTATCTTCTTACCTGCATAATTGTCTATCTTCTTACCTGCATAACTGTCAATCTTCTAACCTGCATAACTCTCTATCTTTTAACCTGTATAACTATATATCTTCTTACCTGCATAACTCTCTATCTTCTAACCTGCACAACTGTGTATCTTCTAACCTGTATAACTATCTATCTTTTTACCTGCATAACTGTCTATCTTCTAACCTGTATAACTACAGTGTATCTATCTTCTTACCTGCATAACCGTCTATACCACTTACCTGCATATTTGACTATTTATTTACCTGCATAACTTTATATCTACTAACCTGTATAACTATCTTTCCACTACCCTACATACTATCTATCTAATAACCTACATAACTATTTATATATTTTACCTACTAACCTGTAAATCTATCTATCTACTTAACTGTATAATTGTCTAACTACTAACCTGTATAACTATCTATCTACTTACCTGCCTAAGTGGTTATTCATTTACTGTATAATAAGCTGTTTATTTACCTGCATAACTATTAACAATACATACCTATTTACCCATATATCTTCTCTTTACTCTGTTTATCTTGTTCTCTTCTTATCCATTCATCGAATCGTATATTTGTGTTTATTTGTGGATTTGGTAGATTTACTTCAGTTAATGCTCAGGATATTCTGCGTCATATTTATTGTTCAAAGGTAATATATAAAATTTTAATACCAATATATTTCTCTGTGTTAATAATACATGTCTGCTTTTATGATATTCATTAAAACAAAACAAAACAAGAGTACTTAAAGATGAGAGGTGGAGAAAATTTGCCGTTTTTTCAGACGTCATAAATTATCAGTTGTAATATTATATACTAACTGCAGTAATATGTCTATATTTATAATCAAATAAAAAATGGAAGTTTGGACTAATTCTCTCCTATAGGTAATTAACCACAATTCTACCAAGGTTGGTAGATAATTATTGCTTTCTTTCCTCTATACCCTGTGTTAGTACTGCATAGATCTCCCTGTCACAGATAGATTTTCCTCTACCATAAATATAACCTCCACTAGTTCATATCACTGTGCTTTGTTGAAAAAAAATATTCAAAACCCTTAAATTACTGTACCTCTTAACCCCAAACCACTTCGCCTTACACTTTAACTCACAAACACCATAAGCTACCCTTAACCCTTTGAGGGAGAGGGGTTAACACCTTGTGGACGATGGTTTAACCATTTATGGAAGATGGTTTATCAGGTTGATGTGTTAAACTGTAGCGGGCCTATTGGCCCATACTGGGCAGTCCAATTTACACCCAACCCCTATTGCTCTTATAAGCATCCAACCTATGTTTGAAGCTATCCAGCGTATTCGAGTTAATGGTGATATTTGGTAACTTGTTCTAGTCGTCCGCTACTCTATTTCCAAACCAATGTTTACCTATTTCGCGCCTAAATCTAAATTTGTCTAATTTAAAACCATTGTTACGAGTTCGCTCCTGGTTGGATAGTTTGAGTACCTTTGTAATGTCCCCTGTGTTTAGCCTTGACTTCCATTTATACACCTCGATTATGTCGCCCCGCACTCTTCGTGTCTCGAGGGAGTGCAAATTAAGATGCTTTAACCTGTCTCTGTACTCAAGGTTTCTAATGCCCGGGATAAATCTTGTCATTCTCCTCTGAATTCTTTCCAAGGATTCTATATCCATTCTGTAATACGGTGACCAGAATTGAACTGCGTAATCCAAGTGAGGTGTCACAAGCGCAAGATATAGTTTTAAGATGACCTCGCTAGTCTTGTAACTAACACTCCTTTGTTTGAACCCAAGTACTTTAGTAGCTTTGTTTCGTGCAAATACACATTGTTTACTTGACTTAAGATTCCTACTTATCATTACTCCTAAATCTCTCTCGCAGTCGGATTTCTCAATAACATCTTTGTTCATCTGGTATCTGGTTTCCCTGTTTACCCATCATCGTCAAAGGGTTAAACCATCGCCCTTAAGGGGATAACCCACAAACACCGTACAGTAACCCTTAACTTAAAAACACCTTAACTTTCTCCCTAACTAAAAAATACCTTAATTTTCCTTTACCTGCAAACATCCCTTAACTCATGAACACCACATTTTACGCCTTAATTTAAAAAAAACAACAGCTAATTTTTACTTTAAACACACTCATATTCACTTCCCCTTAACACACACAAAAAAACATCTTACCTCTTCAGCACCTCAAAGACCCTAGGTCCTCACCTGACCGCTACCTGATGACTAATGATACAGCTACACCGTCCCCCTCGACTTATTGCCCATGGAACGTAGCCGATCTTCATTAATCGCACAAATCGACAATTAAAATAAATACAGTTATAGATACATTATGCAGCAGGCTCCACCATGGCAGGCTAGGACTTTAATACCACCTGTCGCTGAATATAAAAAGATTAATCAAGAATACCGCCCTCAGGTGTTCACGCTAATCAGAGTATTTATGAGGCGGCCAAGTGACCCTACCCTAGCACCGACTAAACGAGGTTCTCTCTCTTTTCTGGTTCAAGATCGATTAAAGAGTCGCTTATTGTTTTACATTAACGTGCTGAAGATGATCGAGTGAAATAATAACTTAGTGTTATGGTATGACATTCATATCAACTAACCTGCATATATATATATATATATATATATATATATATATATATATATATATATATATATATATATATATATATATATATATATATATATATATATATATATATATACAAGAAGAAAACACGAAGTTCCCAAAGCGCTTTCATTAATTCACATCTTCAGGGATTGAGTACAGACTCTCTGTACTCACATATATATATATATATATATATATATATATATATATATATTTCAACAATGGACTTGTTACGTGGAAGCGTAGTTTTATAACGAAGAGGAGAACCAGGGAAAACACAAACATCTTGACTAAGTTGGGCTTCGTTTAATCGCTAACGTTTCGGAAATAATCGTTTTCCATTATCAGAGCCTAGAAAACAAAAGTTTTGAAAAAGTTTTAAAAATACAGTTGGTTTTCTGTATAAGGCTGTCTTGATGTTAATATCCACCGTCTTCATAACAGTTTCGAGACAGCCTTATACAGAAAACTAACTTTCACTGGTTTAAGTTGAAATTTTCATCTTTTATTCCTCATAATTACAAACGTAATCTAGTACGTACTCTTACCAACAGAGCCTTTCATATATGTTCAAGCCAATTCCACTTGGACATTGAACTAAAATACATAAAGGAACTACTCTTTAACAATGGTTTCCCTAAAGGATTTACAGACACTTATATTGGCAAAACCCTTATGGGATTTTAGTCCAACTCAGCCTCAGAAATCCACACCGTCCTAAATATTCTATCTATTTCACCATTCCGTACACAGGCCCACCAGTTTCACCCTTAGAAATAAACTTGAGGCTTTCATTAAATTCTCTCTAAAATTTCTCTTAGACTAATCTTCAAATCAGAGTTCAATTAAAAAAATTCTTTAAAATTAAAGACATACCCACACACCTGCAATCCTCAGTTGTTTATCAATTTACGTGTGCTGGCCATAGGGCAGCATACTGTATATAGTAAACTAAAGACATTGATAACTCGCATCCATGAACACTTGGGCCGTTCCATTCGAACAGATCAGTTGATCACCGCCACTACATTCAGCTATTCGTAACCACGCCCACCAACGCGACCACCGTTTTCGCCGTCCGATTTCTCAGTTCTCGGCAAGAGCGACTGTGAAGGCGGACCTCCTCGTATGGAAGCTGCACCAATATAAGAAAAGCCGTCCATTTGTGATATGGCTTCCTGTGAATTGTTGTGTTTTATAAGGCTCGTTTGAATTAAAAGTAATACCCTGTATATTTTATTTCACACTTTTATTCCTGATTTTAACTGTAAGTAAGGTCTCTCGTCATTTTTTGCCGGTTTTAAATTGGATTGCTCTCTTTTTAA